GGGGGGGGGGGGGGGGGGGGGGTTGTATTTTTCCACCCCTAGAACTGAAATGTGAGCATTTTCTGAAACAGATTCAGGGCTGCAAATAAATATTTGACTTGACAGGACTTTTGTCCGATCACTTCTAATTTTGGTCGGACATAACTTGAATTTGGTCGGACAAGATATATATATAAGTCACGAGACAAGTATGCATAGCCATTCCGGCGCAACGTTAAGTAAAATGCTAGAATGCCTCGCAAACTTTATTGCAAAATGCAAAATGCAAATTGAGTGAAATTGCAATCGGATTTTGTCACAGCAAAAAAATGTATAATGTGACAATTTTTTTTGTGATCGGACCAATGTCCGATCAAAATTACTTTTGCTCGGACATTTGCCAAATTTAGTCGGACATTGTCCGATGTCCGACAGTAATTTGCAGCCCTGCAAATTTTTTGATATACAGCATTACATTGTGTGTTGATAGACTGAATCTGATCAGTTAAGTGTACTTGCATGGTATGTTTATGTAAATACCACAACTGGGTCACTCATTGGGGTAGAAAGCTTGTTAAACTTAGTGGGCCCAACTCCCACGCTCGCAAGGCGCTACCATGATGGTTGGCGCCAAGCTGGAAAATTTTGAAAATTTTGAGTCTCTAGATCGTTGGAAATAGCATTTTCAGAGTCTTCTTTTTTGCTATTTGTGATTACAGAAATCAGAATTCTAGACATCGTATTTAAGTTCAAAAACTTTTATGATCCCCCCCCCTTTCTCTGTGTTAAAACTTTTTTGACCCCCCCTATTTATAAGGGTAAAACTTCGTTTGCTCCCCTCCCATTTCCCAACCCCCCCCCCTCCCTGTAAATAATGATCACTCCCTTACATCACAAAGTGTAGATCCTAAGCAACCATCACAATTTTTCACTTTGTTCCATCATTGAAACTTTCCCAAGGGGAGGTGCATGACCTTTCAGGAGGTGCAAAAACTCTCAGGGGAGATGCAAAACGATCTCAGGGGAGGGTGCGCATCTCTCCACACAACTCCCCTCAAAATCCGGTCTTGATGCAAATAAGTCACCATAGCTACGGAAAATATAGCCTTACAAAGTTTGCAAATTTTGTATACTTTTGTATTGCATGCGAAAATTGCAATGCAAAAGTATACAAAATTTGCAAACTCTGGAAGGCTATATTTCCTACATTTTACAACAATTCATAACCAAACTTTGCAATTTTATTAATTTTAGTATACCCTTCCCGGGAATATACTTTTTTGCTAAGATAAAAAATTAGTCTATAATGGGAATTGTCTATTGGTTCCTATTATCTATTTTTGTTTCTCTAAATAAATAGCTAGAGTTTTGTTTCTCTAAATAAAGATACAAAGCTAGAGGGGGGCGGGACCAAAATTAATGTTCTTGTTTTGCCTGTTGGAGGCTTTGAAAATTTTAAGATGGACAAAAAGTTAAGGCCATAGCCTTACTTTTTTGCTGTTTTTTTCCCATTTATGAAAAATGGCAAAAGTCGCTAAAACTGGACGGAAAGTTAAGGCTATAATAGCCTTACTTTTTTGCTCTTTTTTGCCCATTGATGAAAAATGGCAAAAGTCGCTAAAAATGGACAAAAAGTTAAGGCTATAATAGCCTTACCTTTTTGCTGTTTTTTGCCCATTTATGAAAAATGGCAGAAGAAGTCGCTAAAAATGGACGAAAAGTTAAGGCTATAATAGCCTTACCTTTTTGCTGTTTTTTTCCCATTTATGAAAAATGGCAGAAGTCGCTAAAAATGGACGAAAAGGCTTTTACCCAGCGACTTCACCAAATAGATGCAAACTAGAGTCATGGGTACGAATCATACACCGATATACTGCCTAATAGCAGGCTAACTACTAACAATGACATCCTTTACCTGGAGGCAGACATCGCTTTAACCATAGTGCAGCTCCGTTATCAAGGTACATTGAGGGCTGTGGGTAACCATTGGTATAGAGGTACATTTGTCTGCAAATGTTCATGGTAATAAATAACCATAAATGTTCACAATAATCCATTGAAGTACATCGTAAACCACCAGTATCCATGACTACCACTAGGCCTCCCATCCGACACCGCAAATTACGTTTTTGACACTTTTAAATTTTGGTGAAATGTTTTTGCTACAATTATGGTATCAGTGAGCAAACTTTAACTGGTCAGAAATTCATGAAAGATTAAACCTCTTCGATTTCGTTAAGAGCTTTCTCACAAATAGCGAGAAATGTGTACATTTGTTTCGAAATTATATAAAAGATGCCAGGTTTAAATTAGTTTTGTGCATTTGGGTGTCCTCAGGGTGGCCCCCGTACATTACAATACGACCAGCGTCTGTGACCCCACTTTCTTTCCAAATTTAGAACAAACAAAAGCTGTTGATCAATTCTCATTAAGTTTGCAAATGATCGAGTTCAAAGTCTACAATGCAGATTAATCATCACTGTCAAGACTGTAGTTCCGTCACTGTTGTTCACTGATTATTGTCTCTTAATCTGACATCCCATTGCGATGAATTGTGATGGTTAGCAAAGGAATCGTCTACAACGCTGCCGACGTTCTGTATTAATGTGCTTTGTCATTTTACTTCCCAGTCTGCTTGGCGTCTCTTCAAGTTCTTTCTCTACTGTTTGCCTTCAAACACATGATCGGTCTTGAGGCAGTCTAAAAGAGTTGGATTGTGTATTGTTAGTTATAAAACATTTCAACCTTAATCTGTGTCCGGATCGATGACGCCACACAATTATATCACTCAAAACGACCAATTTCTATTAACCAGTCTTCCTTTTAACAAAAGTTTTGAGTTATGTAATCTTATGCGTGTCGCACGTAAACAACATATCTTGTCTACAATTTGAGAAGGTACAGATAATAACGGCTTCTAAAATCCTCAGTTCTAGCAATATCTCTGTAAAATCACAAGGACGTTAATGCTAAGTCTTTTGGCTATATCACTGGCCTGAAAAATAACTAATGTAACAGCATTTAAGACAACGCTAAAGTGAAATATTGTCGATTGGTTGCTAGTAGAAGACAGGATGAATCTTAAATAACCTTAAACTAGGGGAATAAATGTTTATATCAAAGACAAAGACCAGTGCCAAGGTATAAAATCTGCTCTATAAACTTACGATGAAGTGGAGAAATGTGTGCATAAGTGGTTTTTTTGGTGATTTCAACGTATATGGCAGCCCTCTTTCCAATAATATTCGCTTATAGCACAGAATAACACCAACTGATACAATAGTTCAAATGCAATGATAAGTTACCTCTTGAATTACATCTCAGAAACTGTGTTGGAAATGGAAATGCTGACCCATTCCATACGATTAACTTTTTACATCGTTGAATAAAACATTTTGATTGCATGTAAGGAATTATTTCTCATCCCAGAGATATAGCCCAATTATGACTTAACATTGACATCCTTGTGATTTTATAGAGATACAGCCAGAACGGAGGATTTTACAAAGCGATATTGGTACCTTCCCAAAGTTGTAAACAAGATATGTTGTTTACGTCCAACACACTTAAAATTACATAACTCAAAATAATTCAAGCAAAACCGGTCTTTTGTTCAATGTATAGAGACTGGTTCATAGGAATTAGTCATTTTGAGTTATGCAATTGTGTGCCTCCATCCATCTGTGTCGTTGAACAATGAAAACATTTGTTGTGAAATTAACGAAGATAAAATAGCAGTTTGTGAGAAAACTCTACGGTGCAGGAAGTTTTTGGATTTAAACTCAGCGTGTTCGAAAGTGTTAGATCCCGTAAAAATATTTCAGTTCCAAGACATGCTTAATGAAAATCGTTTTCTAGGCCTAAAATGATGAGGATCTATTTGATCTACTGGACTAGATTTCAAGTCCTCACATTTGGATGCAGTCCTAGCTTGGCGCGGACTTGAAATCTAGTCCAGCTCTCACTTTTCATAGGGCAAAAAAATATATGTGGGTTTCCGGTTTCCCGACCCTACCTAACTTTTGGACATCGAAATCCCAACCACAGAATAAGGTACACAGAAGGCCGACTTCTTCGTTTTTCCTATGATTTTCCTATGATTTTGGCGTAACTCGTGATTCGCCATCAAATGCTGACGCCATGGTCCTAGCCAGTGCGCGACTGAGAGGCATTCACCCCCCTGATATCATTCAAAATGGCGGATGTCCAGGGGGGGAATGCCTCTCAAACCCGCACTGGCTAGGACCATGGCGTCAGCATTTTGATGATGAATCATGGTGTGGCAGCGTTACTCGAGTCGACCTTCTGTGTACCTTATTCTGTGTCCCAACCCTAAACTTTTTTATTGCATCATGCTTGTAAGTGTTTCCACTTAGAGAAAAAAGTTTGTGGAAAATTGAAATTTGAGGCAATATTATGGAAATTTATCAGTAGATGTGGAAGCTGACTGACTAAGCAAAATGGCATCCGGTTGTTAGGAAAATTTAAAAAAAAAGTTAAAAAAAAGAAGTTAAAACCGACCTACCCTACCTAAGTTTTTATAAGAAGAAACCGGAAACCCACATATTTTTTTTTTGCCTAGTCAGATTAGAAATATTACATCACACAGGGTGTGGTTGCTCGATCCAGCCAAGTCATGGGCTCATGACACACATGCTCTTATAACATCAAAAAGCTCAGCCTTTTCCTCTTACAGTACAATTTGTATATAAACTACAAGTTTGCACAAGCCAAAATGTTTGAAAGCGCCATGCAAAAATTATTCGGCATCGAAAGAAAAGATTCACTCTCCCCCCACGGAGGAAATTTCTGCCGTCCGGAGGGGGAGGAGAGACTAAATTGTTTCTGATAATAGTAAATGTATTAGGACATCCGAAAGGGGTAGGGGGGTTTAACTTCCAATTTCCTCCGTGGGGGTGGTATGGATATTTTCTGGGTCATTATGACCCTTTCCACTCTGTTGGTATTGATTTCAAAATGTAAACTGAATTTAATTAACTTTGAGGGTTTATAAAGCTTCAAGTCACAATCCAGGATCCAAACTAAATTGCAAGCTAAATCCACAATCCGAGCCAAAATATTAGATAAATCTGCAAACCGCTGTATTAATAAGATCCGCAATTCCGTGGAAAATATTCGCTAGATCCAAAATCCGAACAATTTTTTCTGTGAAATCCGATGATCCGAAAACATATTCACCCCTTGATGCGGGGCCATATATGCTTACCGTGTGCTTCGAGAGTCTTCGGCAGGTCGGCGACTTAATTAAATCAGTAAACTTTGTCAACTTTCTCGTCGAATTGTTGTCTGAAAAAGTAGATAAAACAAATAAGAGTTATATCAATCAAAGCTGGGGTATTTCTGAACATTATTGCGAGAAAATTTGGGAGAAATACAAAGGAAATGAAGCGACTAAACGATAAAGAAGCGCTTGGATCGGAGGCGAAGTAATTCAATGAATTTGTAGCACGTGTTTCAAAACACGGCTAGAACTTGACAAGAACAGCTCACAAACGTTTAAAATATAGCTAAGTTTAATACTAACCTGTCCCCTTGCATGGCATAACTATTTTATTTCGATAAAGTTTGATAAAACGCTTTTAAAATATGAATTTCTTGCTAAGCTTCGAGTCAAAAGTCTCAAAATGGCGAGCAGAAATTTCAAATTCGCCACGACTTCTTGCATACAGCTTCTTCTCGCGAGCTCTGATTGGTTCAGCCACGCCCTGGTTCAGCCATATATTAACTATGGTTCTAACCTGAAATTCAGGCCCTAATTTAGAATAGGCCTGAACTTCAGGTTACTATGGTTCAGCTTACAGAACTAGCGACCTGGTAGCGATTGGTCTGCCTCCTCCGCAGGCTCCTCTATATAGATCAAATTTAAATATCGGTAATATATAGATCAGCGCGTGCACTGCAAGCCCGATAAAGACGCACGCCTTTAGGCGCACGCCCGCAACTAAGGACGAGCGCGCAAAGGAAAATGGGAAGTTTCGTCTTTTCCTAATTAATTATTTGACAGCAAGCGACTGGGGACGAGGCAGGCGATTGGTCCCAAAAATTGTTTATGCTGGCAGGAAGAAAAAATAGGTACGCTGTAGCGTACATGGCGTCTACTGGATCAAAAACAAAGAATGTCAATGCCGTCCGGTTTATATTCACATATCCGACTTTCGAGTGGGGAAGATTAACATATTTCGGCATGTATTTACCCCGCCCTTTAAAACGAAAACCACCGTTGAAATCCTCATAAAATAACCTTTCGAACGGTGGATCAAATGCCGTCATAACAATACACTGAACCAAAACAATCGTATATTTACTCAACGCTTGGCCAAACATTTTTTGCTTCATATGGAGAAAAAATTGAATACCTTTTGAACTCTTCAGACTAAGTCAATAGGAGTGAAATACCCCTTGTATTCAAGCGCTTTCGTGTAGAAAGTTTCGTTTGAATACGGCGCATAAGAAATATTTATTGCATTTATTGCCAGGATTGCATTCACATTTGTAAGATCCAGGAAGGTTTGTACATTTTGCATGCTTTGCACAGATAAATTTGTTTGAGCATTCGTTCAGATCTATAAAAAAACAAACAAAATGATTTTAGAATGGGAAGAAGAGAAAAAGCCAACAAAATCAGTGACAGAAATATTGAATACAAAAACATCGAATACAAAAAATAACATTACCTTTGTATGTTCTTAAATCCTGGTTCAGTGTTAATACATTTTGCATTCTTTATAGGTTTGTCTAAAATCTTCTCCATGGAGGTCCAGTAAGGATCATAAAACACTGCAATAACTTTATGTATTAATTGAGAAAACTGCAATAACTTTATGTATTAATTGAAAAGCCAAACTCTTTGATCTTTTGTTAATCGAAGCATATTCGAAAGGCAAAGGAGGACCGACTTTATAGTACGAACTCTCAAAGGACGTCAAATATGCTTTCGAACGTTTTGAATTTTTCATGGTTATTTCGCTACCCAAGAAACACGAAAGGTTAACTTATACTAGGACATTACCTAAAATTAAAGTTGAGTTGAAATGCTGAAATTGAAATTGTTAATTTTTGTGGAAAATGGCAATTTGTTTTCACATAAATTTGATCAGCCATGTTTCTCGATTTTTTACTCGTTTTTAAAGCGTGCGGCACATTCAAACGTTTGTATCTCACGTAATATTACATGAAATTTTTAGGGCTGTATATCAAAATCTAAGTTAGCCTTTCCTCAATACAATAAAACATAAAACCTATTTGAGTGTAATAGCTTTTATAGTTTTTATACCCTACATGAAATCAAACACCGCAAGTTTTTTTTGGGACACCCGGTATTTTTCCCTCTTTTCCTTCTTTCCTGTCAGATGGAAAGCAAAATCCAAAAATATAAATTTCCTGCATGTGGAAGTCCAATATACAATTTCTGTTGCATATGTAGATTTCGGAGATAAACTTGAATAATGGCCTATTACCTAATGAACAAAATTTTGATCTAGACAAGTTTATAATACAGACAAAAAATTTATCACAGCTTAATTGAAAGAGCATCACACAATTAGTAATATTCCGAGGTTTCGTTGCGAAATGTTGTAAAATGCGGACAAAATAGCACTGGGAAGTTTGACTTTTTCAGTCATTTTGTATTACGCATGGGAAATTGATACCGATTTCTGAGAAAAGGTATCAATTTCCCGCGCGTAATACAAAATGACTGAAAAACATTAAGTATATCATTATCCGCATTTTACAACATTTCGCAACGAAACGTCGGAATATTACTAATTTTGTGATGCTCGTTCAAGCTGCGATGAAATTTTTGTCTAGACTTGTCTAGATCAAAATTTTGTTCATTAGGTAATAGGTCCATTGCGACTTCAAAGTAAATTAAGATGTTTAAGACAATTTCTTGTGAAGATATTTTATTAAACATTTGCTGCAGTGCTGGTGGCGGACATTTTCCAGCATTGACGGCCGTTGTAACACAAAACGTTGTATGGAACAGCTTTTTGTGCTACGACGAAGGGCCTTGGCTCGAAACGTCTAGGTTTTGCTTTACAGGTAGTTGTAGATCTCTCGCAATTCGCAGCAGGCTTGACAGCCGGTCGAGATGGTATCACAGAACCACGGTCGAGATGGTATCACAGAACCACGGTCGAGATGGTATCACAGAACCGCGGTCGGGATGGTATCACAGAACCACGGTCGAGATGGTATCACAGAACCGCGGTCGAGATGGTATCACAGAACCGCGGTCGGGATGGTATCACAGAACCACGGTCGAGATGGTATCACAGAACCGCGGTCGAGATGGTATCACAGAACCACGGTCGAGATGGTATCGCAGAACCGCGGTCGAGATGGTATCACAGAACCACGGTCGAGATGGTATCACAGAAGATATCCAGTGACAGCGATGGTGAAATTCAAGATATTTTGTTTGTAGTGCTGCTTCCGGATATTTTCCAGCATTGAAACGTGCACTGAAATCCTTTGTAACACAAAAGGTTGCACGAACAGCGTTTTGTGTTGCAAGGCCCTTTCCTTGTCAACGCGAAACGCTATTCACAACCCTTGTCTTCGCTCGAAACATCCAGCGTTCTAGATTATATCACAGAACAAAGCCAGTTGACGATGGTGAACCTCAACGTTCGTCGACGTTCTGCTGAAATGTTTTCAGGTAGTTCTATCTTCCTCAATGCACAGCCCATCTTCATACTCTTCACATTCCAGAGTCTTGGAAGACTCCTACAAGACTCTGGAATATGGAGAGTTATGAACCAGACACATCAATGAGGCCCACCAAGGGTGTAACCCAGGTCGCTTGTCACTCATTTTGTAGCTGCTTTGTCGTTTGTTTTATTGTAATAAATGTCGCTGTCACTTTTGACCCATAACACAAATCACGATTTGTCGCTTTTTTTTTCAGTCAGATGCTGTCGTTTGTCGCTCTTTTTTAGATAGTCTGTCGCCTCTTTTTAAGGAATGTCGCCTGGCGGTCATAACCCCTTGGTGGGCCTCATTAATACGATCCACTGTCATATGCACTAAAGTCTCGTAACACTAAAAGTTGTTCATAATTAACTTCCCGACGAAACGTTGACGTTTTGCTGATATTTTTCAGGTAGTAGTATCTCTCTCAATGCACAGCCCACTTCTTCATAACTATATCCATGTTCCTCTGGAACATGGATAATGAACATGAACCAGACACACTCTGGTGTTGTGATACTCTGGAACATAGAGAGTACAACGATACGATCCGCTGTCATATGCACTAAAATACTAAAATCTCGTAACACAAAAAGTTGTTCATAATTAACTTCCCGACGAAACGTCGACGTTCTACTGATATTTTTCAGGTAGTAGTATCTCTCTCAATGTACAGCCCATCTTCATACTCTTCGTATTCCAGAGTCTTGTAAGACTCCTACAAGACTCTGGAATGCGGAGAGTTATGAACCAGACACATTAATACGATCCACTGTCATATCCACTAAAATCCTAAAGTCTCATAACACAAAAAGTTGTTCATAATTAACTTCCCGACGAAACGTTGACGTTCTGTTGATATTTCAGGTAGTAGTATCTCTCTCAATGTACAGCCCATCTTCATACTCTTCATATTCCAGAGTCTTGTAAGACTCCTACAAGACTCTGGAATGCGGAGAGTAATGAACCAGACACATTAATACGATCCACTGTCATATGCACTAAAATCCTATATTCCTATAGTCTCGTACCACAAAAAGTTGTTCATAATTAACTTCCCGACGAAACGTTGACGTTCTGCTGATATTTCAGGTAGTAGTATCTCTCTCAAAATACAGCCCATCTTCATAACTATCCATGTTCCACAGTGTTGTGATACTCTGGAATATAGAGAGTACAGCGATACGATCCAACGCAAGTATTGTTTCACTGTGGAAACACTTGCGTCACGTGAAACACACGAGCCGACATGACTGCAGAAGTTAGAGAGCCATTAGAGTGACGCTACCATTGTCTGAGAGGCTAATTTCAATTCCAAGTATATGCTTCAAAAACTCCAATACGTAGTTGAATTAAGACTTCTGAGGTTACAGGCCGACTCCAAGTGGAGCTATACCTAGCTATACCTGTTCTACCCCAGGCGATCTTCGGCCTGGCGCTTCGTTCCCGTCCTTGATCTCGTCCAGCATCACCATTCCCTTCCATCACATTTCATCATGTCGAAGTAAATGTCCAACCAACTTCTTCTTCCTCCTCCTCCTGGTACTATTCATCAACCTTTGTGGTTCATGAACCCTGGCGAGGACCTCTGCATTTGTCACTCTATCAGTCTCCATCTTTCTCCATATCCACATCTCAAATGCCTCGAAACGTGCCACAACTGCCTTCCCGAGTCTTCAATCGCTTCTTCAGGTTTACATCGAACCCTCCAGTGCACAAGGCCCTCTGCTTGTTGAAACCACCCTTTGCCATTGCAATCCTTGTTCTGATATCTTTCTCGCAACAGCCATCCGCTGAGAGTACCCCCCCCCCCCGCCAATTGGCTAACTCAAAAAATCCTTGGCTACCTAGTACCTGCATGCAAAGCCGTCGATTCAACGATGACTGGGCCACTGCGGACTTCGCATTTCTCGACAAGCGGACGCTGGGAAAGCGACCATGCCATTATCTCTAAA